AAATTATTTTCCTTTTTTATTTAAAATTTTCATGATTTTAGCACACTAAAAAATCTCTCCATATTAGCATTTAGAATAAATGAAAAGGAAGGGAACAAACAGGGTCAATCCAGCAGTTTGAGCTATTAGTGTTGTTAGTCATAAAAGGTTTATTTGCACTAATCAAGGAATCGGAGGACTTATTGAAATGTTTTTAGTTTAGGGGTTTAAATAATAATTTGAGATAAATTTAAGGACTTAAAAAGGATTTTTGTCGTGTGCAGTGTATACATATATATAGGTAAAAACTAATATTTAGCCCCTTATCTTATAAAATTGGTAGGTTTTAGCCTCTAACCTTATAACATGACAATTTTAACCCTTTATCTTACAAAATTGGTAAGTTTTAGCTCATCACCTTTCAAAGTTGGTAGATTTTAATCCCTTATTTTATATTATGATATTTTTAGCCCTTCACCGATGTGAATTAAAGAAAATAATCATCATCTAACATCAGGTTATAACGTTTTGTTAGTTGGCTATTAACATCCGTTAACATTCCGTTATAAAAAACGTGAGATTTAAATTCAATTTTATTTGTTAGTTCCATTAACGGAATGCTAACAGATACTAACAGTCAACCAACAGAACAACAGTCAGTTAACAGAACTGACAAATAACTAATAAAACTAATAGAACATTATAACCTGATACTAAATAAGGGCTATTTTCTCTAATTCATACAGATAAGAAGCTAAAAGTGTCATAATGTAAGGTGAGGAGTTAAAACCTATCAATTTTGTAAGGTGAGGGGTTAAAACCTACCAACTTTATAAGATAAAAGGCTAAAAATATCATATTATAAGGTTAGGGGCTAAAACCTACTAATTTTGTAAAGTAAGGGGTTAAAAGTTGGTTTTAGCCTATATATATAAAAGAAAATTACTGCTCCGGATCTAGCATTAGCTACGCATCGCCGCGTTTCCATGTGTCTTATTTTTTTCGTGTTCTATTCTTTTATTTTGTCTCCTTTTACCAAACATACACGATGGGTGTTTTGGTAAAAATATATGTAAAGTATAATTAAAAGGGTGGTCTCATATAGACAATTTTTTTATCTCATATTTTTATATAATTTTTACATATTATTAAATGAGTGAATGTATTCAATATTATAAATTTCACATGAATTAAAAGAACTAATCATTTTAATGACACGTCAGATTATACAAAAAGATCAAATAAAATCGTTGTCCCAATAGCATTTCTTAATTAAAATTAAAAATTTAGTGTTCCTTAGTCAATTTAAAAAAAATTGAAAAAAAAATCTCAAAACTTTATCATTTTATTAAAATTACTGAAAAAATAAAAATAAACTCAATTTTGGTATAAAAATAAGTTATTTTAATTTTTAATGAGAATTATTAAAATAACTAAATTTAGGGTCTTTTTCCTCTTAAATTTTTAAAAAATTCACTAACAAATTCCTTTTCCTAAA